TTGGTGACGACACAATGCAATAGATGATATCATGCTTTGATTACACGATTAATATACATTTCTTCGTGTCAGACCTTTGACTCAGTTAGCAAAGACATTTGTTCTCTATCATAGGTGAGTCAATGATTGGGGTGCGGTGGCCGGTGACCTCCTCGTGGTGCACCCTGGTAACTCCCGAACGTCTTTAGGGAGGCTAACAACCGGTCAGGGGGGGGAATGGGGAGGGCGGCCCCGGCGTGCACTAACCTGCCGTCGGGGAGGGGTGGGGGGGGATCCGTCCGAAACTAGGGGGGGCACGCCGACCCCTCTAGCATACCCGTAACCCTGTGGTTCCTTCAACGATCTCCATCAAACCGGCGTTATGGAGTACGTTGGGACCACAGGAGCGGAGGGCTTGCCTTAACCGGCCGGCCCACGAGAAAGGAAAACTCTATAAAAACCCGACAGAACAGTCGTTAAAACCTGCAGATACCTGGCGACCTCTGCAGTAAGTAGCCCCACCATGCGGAATGGGCGTCACCCGGTGGTGGAATTTATATCGACCCTACTCGTGGGAACAGAAATGGAAATAAATAAAAATTCAAATCAAACCGAGGAAGAAGGGAGACGGCGCGATGCGCGAAGTGTTGTAGAGGAGGAGAGAGTGGAGAGGAGAGAGGAGAGGAGAGAGGAGAGGAGAGATGAGGGAGAGGAAATCAACGTACTGTCCTCGTCCTCTGAAATGTCCCTCTCGGAAGTAGATAGCGAGGAAGTGGCGGCTACGCGAGTACTGCGCAGCCATAGCAAGAGATCGCCAGCTGCGAGGGTTGCCCTCCGATTCCCATCGGAGCTGAGGAAGAGGAGGGCAGCGAAAGAGGGGGGAACGGTGGACCCTGCGGTGGCCACCAAAGTGTCCTCAGCGGCGAGGGGCCGATCCAAACGCCCAGGGGCATACCAGTTTCTGGATGCTGCGAAGGCGTATCTGGCGGCCGGGAAGGGAAGCGAAGCAGAGGGCTCCGACCCCCCGTACCGGTCCCACAGACGGCTGCCGCTAGCAGCGGACGAGGCAGATGCCGAGCCTAGCGCCGCCCCTGAACGGGCTGCCACAGTAGAGGCCCTAGCGGCGAAGGCCCTCCTGAACGTTACTATGATTCAGGGGGAGCTAAAGAAGGGTGGCAACATCAGGGGGACGGTGCTAGGTCAGCTGAACAAGGCCACGCAGGGGGTGATTGAGGCGGTCGAGGGCCTGCGTGCAATCACCCCGGAGGAGGAGCAGCGCCGGCTCCGCGCGGAGAATGCCAGACTGGCTCGCGAGCTGGAGCTGATCCGCGCGGAGCTCAAGGCATTCAAGGATGCCTACGCTGAGTCGCAGAGGAGGCCGGCGACCAGCGCGAAGGAGGCCCAACCGGAGCTGAACCTGAGGGGCGCTATGGAGGAGGTAAAGCGCGAGCTCCTGGAGTCGCTAGGCGGGATGCTGAATGCCCGCCTAGAAGGCTTGGAGACCCGCCTCCCTCCAGAGCCGGTGACCAGACCGCCCCTCCGGACGGACAAGAGGCAGCCTCCGCCGCCCCGCCCCAAAGGCCAGGCTGGCGCTGTGAGGGGGGCGGCGAGACCGGCCCAGGGCCCTAAAGCTCAGAGGAGCAGGGCGAGGCCGGTCGTAGCTCCTCCTCCTCCCCTGGTCCAGGGTGCGGAAGGCCCACCCGGAGTAGCTGCTACTGCGGAAGCCGGCACTTCTTCTGGCGGTGTGGACCTATGGTCGAAGGTGGTCGGCCGAAAAAAGAAGAAGAAGGCACAAAAGAGCAAGGCTCCGGTAGGGGCCCCAGCAACACCGGCCCAACCTGGGAAGGCGCAGCGGGTCCCCCCTTCCAAGGCCATCAGGATTGTGGCCCCCAAAACAGCGGCTATCACAGTGACGCTAAAAAAGGGGGCCACGATCGCATCAGCGGAGGGCCAAGTCTCTGAGGCCACTTACGCAGAGGTCCTGACCAAGGCCAGGACCTCCATACGCCTCAGAGACTTTGGCCTGGAGACGGTCAAAGTGCGCACCACCATGACCGGCTCCAAGCTGATGGAGGTAGGGGGGACCGCCCCCGAGGAGGCTGCTAACCGTCTCGCCGCTGAGCTCGCCAAAGTCATCGGCGCATGGGCAGACGTCACCCGTCCGTCCAAACTCGTAGACCTGAAGGTCTCGGGTTTGGACGAGACGGTGACGTGCGAAGAAGTGGCGGCCAT